TATGTTTAGAAGCGTAGTCGCCAATTTGAAATTAGTGCCGTAAAGCACGAGAAAGCTGCCTTCTGATTGGTCATTCTATTGGTCGGTCAAAGTTCGCACAAGGTCGGTCTGACGTGACCCGTACTGGGATGTCCTCAGATCTTTGTTTAGCAGTAGCAAGAACTAAGGTCTGATTTTAATGAGATTGTCGTCACAATAGTGTGGATGTTTTATGCTGTTTGAGAGAAAAGTTGGCCTAATGGTCTAAAATGCTTCAACACTGCAGAGTTGTGTCGATTGGTTATGTGAGGATCCATTCTGATCACTGGTTTGGAGAATAGTGACCTTAAGCTGAACAGATGGACATGTGGCAGTGTGATTTGAAAGTGAGACACAAATTTATGCAACCACATGAGGTATTGTGGTGCTGAAACGAAGGATCATATTCTGGATTTTAATCCATGACCAATACATCAAGTTCCATCAACCATGACAATTGGGACACCTGTGCACCCAAGTTTCTCTCACTCTACTCCAGCAAAATTGCAGTACCATAAAGGCAGAAATTAATAAGTAGGGTCTGTGTGACTAATAAAGCAGTTTCTTGTCACTTTTCGCCCCAGTTTTATATCACAATTAGACATATATTGGGTAGGAACACTACCCCTAGAACCTTACGATTCTTTGTCTTTTGAGATTCCGTAACAGCTGCGTCTGATTCAAGAATAATCCAGTTTTACATCACTGTCGGACATACGTTGGGAAGAAACCCTAACCCTAGCACCTCACGATTCATGTTTCTGTTGAGATACGATAACATCAGCGTCTGTATCAGAAATAACCCAGTTTTACATCACAATTAGACATATATTAGGTAGAAACCCTAACCCTAGCACCTTATCATTCATGTTTCTGTTGAAATTTCGTGACATCTGCGTCTGATTCAAGAATAACGCAGTTTTACATCACTGTCGGACATATATTGAGTAGAAACCCTAACCCTAGCACCTTATCATTCATGTTTCTGTTGAGATTTCGTGACATCTGCGTCTGAATCAAGAATAACGCAGTTTTACATCACTGTCGGACATATATTGAGTAGAAACCTTAACCCTAGCACCTTATCATTCATGTTTCTGTTGAGATACGAGAACATCAGCGTCTGTATCAAGAATAACCCAGTTTTACATCACTGTCGGACATATATTGGGTAGAAACCCTAACCCTAGCACCTTATCATTCATGTTTCTGTTGAGATTTCGTGACATCTGCGTCTGAATCAAGAATAACGCAGTTTTACATCACTGTCGGACATATATTGAGTAGAAACCTTAACCCTAGCACCTTATCATTCATGTTTCTGTTGAGATACGAGAACATCAGCGTCTGTATCAAGAATAACCCAGTTTTACATCACTGTCGGACATATATTGGGTAGAAACCTTAACCCTAGCACCTTATCATTCATGTTTCTGTTGAGATACGAGAACATCAGCGTCTGTATCAAGAATAACCCAGTTTTACATCATTGTCGGACATATATTGGGTAGAAACCCTAACCCTAGCACCTTATCATTCATGTTTCTGTAGAGATACGATAACATCAGCGTCTGTATCAGAAATAACCCAGTTTTACATCACAATTAGACATATATTGGGTAGAAACCCTAACCCTAGCACCTAATCATTCATGTTTCTGTAGAGATACGATAACATCAGCGTCTGTATCAGAAATAACCCAGTTTTACATCACAATTAGACATATATTGGGTAGAAACCCTAACCCTAACACCTTATCATTCATGTTTCTGTTGAGATCTCGTGACATCTGCGTCTGAGCCAAGAATAACGCAGTTTTACATCACTGTCGGACATATATTGAGTAGAAACCTTAACCCTAGCACCTTATCATTCATGTTTCTGTTGAAATTTCGTGACATCTGCGTCTGATTCAAGAATAACGCAGTTTTACATCACTGTCGGACATATATTGTGTAGAAACCCTAACCCTAGCACCTTATCATTCATGTTTCTGTTGAGATTTCGTGACATCTGCGTCTGAATCAAGAATAACGCAGTTTTACATCACTGTCGGACATATATTGAGTAGAAACCTTAACCCTAGCACCTTATCATTCATGTTTCTGTTGAGATACGAGAACATCAGCGTCTGTATCAAGAATAACCCAGTTTTACATCACTGTCGGACATATATTGGGTAGAAACCTTAACCCTAGCACCTTATCATTCATGTTTCTGTTGAGATACGAGAACATCAGCGTCTGTATCAAGAATAACCCAGTTTTACATCATTGTCGGACATATATTGGGTAGAAACCCTAACCCTAGCACCTTATCATTCATGTTTCTGTAGAGATACGATAACATCAGCGTCTGTATCAGAAATAACCCAGTTTTACATCACAATTAGACATATATTGGGTAGAAACCCTAACCCTAGCACCTAATCATTCATGTTTCTGTAGAGATACGATAACATCAGCGTCTGTATCAGAAATAACCCAGTTTTACATCACAATTAGACATATATTGGGTAGAAACCCTAACCCTAACACCTTATCATTCATGTTTCTGTTGAGATCTCGTGACATCTGCGTCTGAGCCAAGAATAACGCAGTTTTACATCACTGTCGGACATATATTGGGTAGAAACCTTAACCCTAGCACCTTATCATTCATGTTTCTGTTAAGATACGATAACATCAGCGTCTGTATCAGGAATAATCCAGTTTTACATCACTGTCGGACATATATTGAGTAGAAACCCTAACCCTAACACCTTATCATTCATGTTTCTGTTGAGATCTCGTGACATCTGCGTCTGATTCTAGAATAACGCAGTTTTACATCACTGTCGGACATATATTGAGTAGAAACCTTAACCCTAGCACCTCATCATTCATGTTTCTGTTGAAATTTTGTGACATCTGCGTCTGATTCAAGAATAGCCCAGTTTTACATCACTGTCGGACATATATTGGGTAGAAACCCTAACCCTAGCACCTTATGATTCATGTTTCTGTTGAGATACGATAACATCAGCGTCTGTATCAGGAATAATCCAGTTTTACATCACAATTAGACATATATTAGGTAGAAACCCTAACCCTAGGACCTTATCATTCATGTTTCTGTTGAAATTTCGTGACATCTGCGTCTGATTCAAGAATAAGGCAGTTTTACATCACTGTCGGACATATATTGAGTAGAAACCCTAACCCTAGCACCTCATGATTCATGTTTCTGTTGAGATACGAGAACATCAGCGTCTGTATCAGGAATAATCCAGTTTTACATCATTGTCGGACATATATTGGGTAGAAACCCTAACCCTAGCACCTCATGATTCACGTTTCTGTTAAGTTACGAGAACATCAGCGTCTGTATCAGGAATAATCCAGTTTTACATCATTGTCGGACATATATTGGGTAGAAACCCTAACCCTAGCACCTCATGATTCACGTTTCTGTTAAGTTACGAGAACATCAGCGTCTGTATCAGGAATAATCCAGTTTTACATCATTGTCGGACATATATTGGGTAGAAACCCTAACCCTAGCACCTCATGATTCACGTTTCTGTTAAGTTACGAGAACATCAGCGTCTGTATCAGAAATAACCCAGTTTTACATCACAATTAGACATATATTAGGTAGAAACCCTAACCCTAACACCTTATCATTCATGTTTCTGTTGAAATTTTGTGACATCTGCGTCTGATTCAAGAATAACGCAGTTTTACATCACTGTCGGACATATATTGGGTAGAAACCCTAACCCTAGCACCTCATGATTCATGTTTCTGTTGAGATACGAGAACATCAGCGTCTGTATCAAGAATAATCTAGTTTTACATCACTGTCGGACATATATTGAGTAGAAACCCTAACCCTAGCACCTCATGATTCATGTTTCTGTAGAGATACGATAACATCAGCGTCTGTATCAGAAATAACCCAGTTTTACATCACAATTAGACATACATTAGGTAGAAACCCTAACCCTAACACCTTATCATTCATGTTTCTGTTGAAATTTTGTGACATCTGCGTCTGATTCAAGAATAGCCCAGTTTTACATCACTGTCGGACATATATTGGGTAGAAACCCTAACCCTAGCACCTCATGATTCATGTTTCTGTTGAGATACGAGAACATCAGCGTCTGTATCAGGAATAATCCAGTTTTACATCACTGTCGGACATATATTGGGTAGAAACCCTAACCCTAGCACCTTATCATTCATGTTTCTGTTGAGATACGAGAACATCAGCGTCTGTATCAGAAATAACCCAGTTTTACATCACTGTCGGACATATATTGGGTAGAAACCTAGAACCTCATGATTCATGTTTATGTTGAGATTTCATAACATCAGCGTCTGTATCAAGAATAACGCAGTTTTACATCCCTGTCGGACATGTATTGAGTGGAAACCCTAACCCTAGCACCTCATGATTCATGTTTCTGTTGAGATTTCGTGACATCTGCGTCTGATTCAAGAATAATCCAGTTTTACATCACTGTTGGACACATATTGGGTGGAAACTCTAACCCTAGAACCTCATGATTCATGTTTCTGTTGAGATTTAGCGACATTAGCATCTGATTCAAGAATAATGCAGCTTTATGTCACTGTCGGACCTATATTGGGTAGTAACCATTACCAAAGCACCTCGCGATTCATGTTTCTGTTGAGATAATATGGTGACATCATTATTTTGGTACTGTCTAACTTACCATCTGTTTGGATGTAAAATCATAATCTGTAGCATGGATTGCCAGGATTGTAATGTAAGCTATAGCATGGTGGCAGGTAAATGTCTTGTGGACAAGGCAAATCAGTGGCTGACAAGATCAGCAAAACCCATGACATTGGGCACATTAACACAATCAGCCATTTGACATCATGTCGTTCGGTGATGAATACATGAACACATTCATGCCTACATAATACTGTTTATCCTTGTCATAATCAATCAACTACAAACAAAATTCATCATTTTGCTAGTTCTTTATTGTTGAGGAAACAATAAACATAAATGTAACACATGAAAAGAGTTTTGCCTCAAAATGCTGAAAACAGTGTAAGTGAAGAAATTCCATGCACAGTATATTTGTAAGATGCTAAATTCACCATATATGATAATTGATATTATGAATGAAAAAAACCCACCTCACATTATGAAACAATTTATAATATGAATCATATGTTTAGATGTACAGTACTGTCCATGAGTATAGGGAGAAACACTGTCCCTCCACACAGTAGCGAACTGATGCTACTCCCTGCTGATCTTTTCACTACTCAGGATGCCAATGCTGACTTCAACACAGAACTCTTCTTCTCAACACTTCTTCTTTCCAGAAACGTACAGGGCATAGTTGCTCTCCCTTCTCAAAGCACACTGTATTGGGAGCTGTATATGTAGTTTAGCGTTGGTGTAAACTGATACCATCAAGTTTCATTACAGCATGGTAGTTGCCCTGAAAAGGTTGAAAATATTCACATAAGTGATGTCATCACCATTGATTGAACATTTTTCATGGAAAAATAACTTATGATTTAACTTCAATATAAATAAATCCACGTAGTACACCTAATTTTTACATTTATACCCACATTAGTTTAAAAGTATATTGGAGTCAATTCTTTTAAATAAATATGTCAATATCAACAACTTCATAGACTCCTTCTTTAATTACTTACATAAAAAAACAGGAAGACAACAATAGAAAATCAGTGACATTGTTAAACCCAATATAATGAAAAACAAGCCCCTCCCATTCTATTATCAGCCAATCAGGAAACAGTTGATCATTTGTGGGTATAGCATACATTTATTTTAGGTTCATGGCAACATCAAGTTATGTTCCATTAAAAATGCCTGTAAAGATATTATAGTTTAATATCATGTTGTCTCACTTAAATTCAAAACTTAATGGGAAGTTATAATTTGCAGTTATCTCAACTGGCAAGGAATTTTTCTCAAGCCAGTTAAATGTGTCCAGGATACAAAATTAAGATGGTGTTATTACCACAAATATTTTCTTGAACAAAAATGAAAATATCTGATGATAATTTGTGTACTTTTTGTAATTCACATCCAGAAACTGATATGTATTTATTTTTTGGTAAAAGATTTCTGGCTTCTGGACACAGACACACAATTTGTATCTGGATATTCGTGTGAAGGAAAATGTGATAACAGATGATAATTTGATCTGATTTTGTTATTTTCAAAGTATGTAAGTGTAAGGTTCTTAAAATACAACCAAATTTCTAACATTTTGTGAGGGAGACTGATACAGTTAGACATGAATTTCGAAAAAATATATACTTCAACAAAACATGCATACAAATTTTATACACAGTATACTGACTCCGAGTGGACCATTCCTTCTTTTAGCCCTTACTACCGAGAGCAAGACAGGGTAACAACAAGTACCATCTTTTAACGTCTTTTGGAATGATGCTTCAAGGGATCGAATTTCTGACCTTCCGCTCTCCGAGCAGACACTCTACCAGTACACCATAGAGGCAGTCAATCAGACTTGGAATTTGATGAATTTCAAAGAGTTAAAGTAACTAAGTTGACAATCCATCAGTTTATTGTTATTTTCTGAGAACTAACAATCAACAGTACTTTTCTTATGTTCACCATTTTGTTACTTTTGTTCATTAGTGTAGAAAATTCTGGATGGGAAGCATTTTATCTGGACAGGAATATTTGCAAAGTTGCCCTTCCGGGAATTTTATACGCTGCTGTTACATAGCGACACGCTTAACATCAAATCACAATTCTGACATCATTGTTTGGATGATTCATGCCAAGTTTCAGCTTCATAGGCTTTGTAGCTCTAGAGGAGATGTTGAAAGTTTAATCGTTAACGACATACATACTAGCAGAAAAAGGTAACTTTTCTTAATAAAAAGTCCAACAAAACTCAATCTCATTAAAATCAGATCTTAGTTCTCGCTACCGCTAAAAAATGATCTGAGGACATCCCTCTATGGGTCACGTCAGCATGACCTTTCATCCAACCAATCAGAGCATCACTTACCAGATCCTGAAAGTGACAGTCAAAATGTGTTTTCTAATCATGCATCCTCGAAATATTTAACAGAGGGTATTCCGAACGACAGTTACGGGTTTTATGATTATATCCATACAATTTAGGCCATCTATAAGTCATTCCAGAATGTTGTTTTGGTCAGTTATAAATCTATTTAATTGAGAATACGTCAAAATATGTTTCGAGGCGTAGTCGCCAGTTTGAAACTAGTGCAGTAAACCTCGAGATAGCTACCTTCTGATTGGCAAATGTCGATTTCAGTCATTTCATTGGTCGGTCAATGATCGCGAAAGGTCGTTCCGACATGACCCGTAATGGGATGTCCTCAGATCTTTGGTTAGCGGTAGCATATTGATGAAGACATCTCCTCAGTTTTAAGGTCGTGATTCACAATTTGCATGCAAATGTTTATGGACTGCGCATAATTTGTGTGTTTGCATGTTTGTTGGGAGCAAGGTATTTACACGCGTTTTCATAATGTAAACAGCACACAATGATTGTTTAGCTCTCTGGGTCTAATAAAATCTTTTTTCTTTTTGTTCAACTGTAATTAATAATGCTGTCACGGCTTGATGACATGTTGCAAACACGAAATGCGCAAAACGAAGTTGCCAAACATTTTTAATGTTCATCGAATCACAAATATTATCTGCCACATTAATAATCGGACAATTCTTGGGTTAAGACAAATTAATGGCAGAACTGTACATTACCGGTTGAGAGAGCACAACATCCGGTCCCAACATTCAGCAATATGCCTTATTTTGCTTACACGGGACTATCAGTCACACTTGGTGTAGACAGCATCTGAGGTTCAGAAGAAAAACAGGGACAGTACACTGTTCACAAATGAGTGAGGGTTTCATCTGAACAGCTCTGATGGTCGTGCAAAGGTCTACATGCATACTGGAGAATGTTTTAGCAACTCTTGCATTACTTATCATCATCAGTTTTGGGGTGGAAGTGTAATGGTATGGGGTGGCATCACAACTCATGGGAAAACACAACTCATCATTGTTATGAGGACATCGTTTGAGATCATGTTCTTGCCTTTGTGCACATGCAGGGACGTAACGTCATGTTGCAGCAGGATAGTGCCCGCCTACAAGTTGCACCCCTCTTTGGGGGCGTGTCTCTCCCGTCTCCAATTACCTGGAATGGATTTTGTCAATGAATTTGTTATGATAAAACACTGATGAGACAAAAGACCAAATATTATGTTGTAATTTACAATAACATAACATTTACACTACTTAATACACAGCAGTTACTTTTTTCCATTAGTATAGATGAACACAGCCATGACATAAGCTTATTTGAACCTTCGCTTTGTGTAAGCTACAAGTGATCATCATCATTTCTACAAAGTTAAGTTTCAGCTTCCTGGAGAGTGTAGTTTCTCTTTTTTTATTTTCATTCTTAATTGTTTTTCAAGAAGCAATTTCAGCCCCTCCATTTCTCCAATTTTAATTCCCACCATTTGAGAATTGATTCCAACCAAATATGGTTGATATCTATCTCTTAGTTCCAGAGAGGAAGTCGTTTAAAGCAATATAGCCAAATTACTCCTATTTGGCCCTGACCCTTGGGGGGTCAGCCCTCTCCATTTGTACAATTTTTAATCCCCAGCATTGGAGAATGCTTCCAACCAAATATGGTTGATATCTATCTCTCAGTTCCAATAAAGAAGTCGTTTAAAGCAATATAGCCAAATTACCCCCATTTGGCCCCGTCACCCAGCCCTTTGGGGGGTCAGCCCCACCATTTGTACAATTTTGAATCCTCACCACCTAGGGATGCTTCCAGTCAAATTTCGTTAATTGTCAATTTGTGGTCAAAAGAAGAAGTTTTTTGAAAAAATTGTTGACATACGGACGACGGACCCCACGGTATGGCATAAGCTCACCTGGGTGAGCTAATAGTTGTGTCAGGAAGACAAACACCAGACAAGCAGGCCATGTTGTTTGTATTCAAAAAGTATTTTGTTTTATTTTGTATATTTGTCTTATCTGGAAAAATAGTCTATGCTATATTACAACCAGTTTGTTTAACGACATGCAGACATGAATCCTACGTTTCGAGGCGATCAATGTTACCTTTGTTGGGTGCAACTGGACCAAACAAGTTATTTGCACCAGGCTTCTTGTAACTGGACAGTGAAACCTGTGAACATGGTATACAAAGAATAAAAATCTTCGTAAGAATAAACACAACACATGACACCACAGAACTGAATGAACAAATTGTAAAATAAAACACTGGGACAACCACATAACTTAATCCGAGTCCCATTGTGGTGCTACACATGCCAGGTGTCATTAAGTTTTAGTTTCCTTGGTTTCTGAGAAGAAAGTTCTTAAAGTTGAACAAATCAGAATTGGAAGCTACAAAAATACCTTTGCAAATGAAGGTTAAAAAAGTGTAATAAACATCCATCAACCTCTTCATGACAACATTGCTAAGGTTATCTAGGATAAACAAAAAAATGCCTCACTACGAACCGTTTGAATGGGCCTGAAACTGATCAGAATTTATTTTTAGGGAATTAAATACTGGTAAAGGTCATCATAAATAGATTAACAAGATTATGCAGAAATAAGTAACAAATGTTCAGATACACCCAATGATATGAATATTTAATAATGATTGACAAATGAGGAAAAACGAGTGAATTGTTTATGACCACTTAAATTAATGGTGCTTGGTCCAGGCAGGCAAGAGGTTGATAGCACTAACAACTATCCATGTAATTGGGGTGTAATGTCACCAAATCAGCCAAGTCACACAAAACTGACATTCCATATAGTTGCCCTTTGGGAATGTTAAGAATCAAATACTGTGACTACGTTTTTGAGACTGAATTACTTGGATCATGTCCGTAACAATCCAAACAGTGTAAGTATACCTGTAATCTAGATACAAGGGTGCATGCAAAGGGTATGACCATGGCATGATAATCTGAATCTGAAATCTGAAAAGAACAGTAGATCTATTTTATACCATTGTTGGAGTGCATGATAACACACATATATAACCAATCATAGCTTCACTTCCAAAAAGATTCATAGGAAATATTGCAGGTACAAGGTTATTACACTTACTGGTACATTCCATTATTAGGACACAAAAAGGTGAAAGATGATGGCATGACCAAATGGAACATATGATCACTGAAACATAGCACATTGGAGATTGAAATATAGTATTACAGCCTGTTAAATGAATAACACCATGATACATGAGTACCTGGTCAAAATAACATTCAATATGGCTGCAATGTCGTCACCCCAAAAAATCACAGACACAGTTTACCAGATTCAACCTAATGGAGGCCAGATGTGCCCATTGTATTGGTGCCATTAAACTGACTCATGTAACAGAGCTCCAGATAACTTTTTGAGCAATTCAGTTTTTACTCTAGGGTTTCTATTTTAATTGGGTTATTACATTTTTCATTGGGTAACCAATATTTTTTCACTCATCGTTTCATCACTCTCTTGGGTCTTTCCCAAAATTAGTGAACATTTTCAGATTTCAAAAAAATGAAATAATGTTCTAAATACATAGGTTTGACTGAGAAAGTAAATAAGCTTGTAATTGTGTTTCAGAAATTAGCTCCTTTGTATGCATGCTGAAAAAGCTTCATTGGGCATTTACGCGAGCTGTTTTAATAATTTGAGTTTTTCATTTAATGCATGCGTTTCTGTACACAAGTTAATGGAAAGTAATTGGGTTTTAAATAATTTTGGGGGGTATTTTACACAAATACGCTGCTTATCTGTAGCTCTGATGTAATAATTTTTCCCTTCATTACCTTTTGGCTGTCCTCACACATGACTGACAGAAATACTGTTCGAACAAACTTCCCTGGGTATAGGTGTTAAAATGGCTCTGTAGCTTCCCTGTACTTTTTCACGGAATATATTATTACAACAAAAAGGCAATACAAAGGTATAATAAATAAGCAAAAGAAACAAAACTATTTATCTACAGAACAGACTTTCTCACAGCATCTTGACCAATTAAAAGGATGACAGTATATGCAAGAAGACAAATTCACCATTATCCTCTAAATATTAAATACTTGCTATGGAAACTAAATATCCCAAATTATCAAAAGGCACCAGTTCAACACTAGACCTATCTATGTGCCATGCTTGTTAAGGAAATATTGTAAAAAAAAATTAATCTGCATAGAAAGGAGCACTACCCTCATTTTCAGTATGAGTCAAAGTTGTGGCATCTCAAAATATTAATTTAAAAAAAATCCTAAACTATTAAAAGGCACCAGTTCACCACTAGACCGATCTGTGTGTCAAGTTTGGTGAAGAAATATTGTAGATTTTTAAGGTATGTTCCAAGAACGATCACTACCCTCCTATTTCAGTCAAAGTTGTTGCCATGGAAACTAAAAAGATACATTTTACAAAAATCCAAAACTATCAACAGGCACCAGGTCACCACTAGGCCTATCCATGTACCATGATTGGTGAAGAAAATAGTAAACGTTTTTTCAAAATCTTACACAGAAGTATGAATGCAAGGACTGACCATGTCCATTTTAATACCCCCGCAAAACATGTTGTGGGGGATAATAATTGGTAATGAAACGAGTCAAAAGAACACATTCATCATGACTGCTGCAGCAGCACATGAAGACAAAATGTTGCAGTTCCAAATATAAGAAAAACTTGCAAAATATGACACTGTGTTTGGGTTTACTAAATAATTACTGTATATCAAATTTCATAATGTAAATGCAGAAGTGGCTTTCTAAAGGGTGAAAAGTATATGTTCAATATGGTTGCCATGTCTTGACAGCTTGAAGTTGTATTGGCATCATGTTAGTGGGATCAAATACACAAAATCTCAGCTTATTGAAAATATGATTTTCAGAGAAGATATTGAAAACACAAACAAACTTCATAAGGTATGTGAAAGTTTAAGGCCATAGAAGGCACAGGTAATACAGTCATCCAAGAAGCCACCTCAATTTGCTGGGCAGAGTTGCATCCCTGTCTGTCTCACAGTCCTTGAACCATATTATTTTCCCTTCAGCCCAGCCCATCTCACTGGGTCTACTTTAAACTAAAATGAATATAAAATGTTTCTATCAATATTTTACATTTTCAGAGACTAAGCTGCATCCCTTTCATATGCCAGAAATCTATGACAATGGGTTCAAATCCCATAATTACCATGATTATTTTCCTTGGTTTGTCAGCACCATTTCCACGCTGGTGGGTCTCATCAAGTGGTAAATATCTAAGATGTTCCTCCCAGATCAAGCAAAAAATACACCAATGTAAACCCCATAACACATATCAAGTTTCATAATGCCACATCTGAAATGGCTGTGTAATATGCAAAAGTGATATTTTGTAAATGGCCTCATGTTTTAGAATGTTATCATGGGATAACATTTATACTAAGTTATCTTATAATAATTAGATCTACATCAAGTGCTTTTATGAGTTATCGTGGTGTAATATTTATACATCATTTCATATAATTATAGTTGACCAAGTAATAAATATCATTAGGTAAAATGCATATATAAAATATCAGTAGTTTCAGTTAAAGCTGTTTTAGATGGTTGCTAGCCTAAGGTAATGGGAGCGCGTCTTCTAGACATACTATTCAATAAGACAAGAGTTACGTCTACATAGTTTAATTGATTTGAAGCTTTTAGATAAATGCTAGCCTAAGGTATCAAGATCCCATCTCCCAGACAAAGGATATTTATTTAAGTATATCTGTCATCACCTACCGGGGTATATTAGAATAACATTACTTCAATTAAGACTCATTAAGGATTAGCCCCCATACAAGCTCGTCTATAGTGCATTAAGGATTAGCCCCCATACAAGCTCGTCTATAGGGCATTAAGGATTAGACCCCACACAAGCTCATCTATAGTGACACCCTAATCTCTTTCAAAGCATCCAGTAAATATGTCAACAAGATTAGTGCCAGTCCAACAGGATAAACAGGATTTAGTATTCCCCTCTGTCTAGCCATCCATTTAGCTTAGGACACAACCAAGCGTGTATCATCCAATCACATTCCTTTCTATTGTTTAATTTTTTGTTAAATACATACTGTAGGCAGGTTTTAAGGAGAGAAGGGGTTTGACTCTCTTACCAAGCAGACCTCTCTCCCACAGCCCAGAGTGTGTACCGACTCTCTGTGGCACCCTCAGTTATTTTCTAAGATATTGTAAATTGTTAATTGTTCTTGTAAATAAAATTGTGATTAGTCTCCTGTGACTCTGGCTCTTTGCTGACTAATTCCCCAAGAAAACCAGCACGTCATTTGGAAGGTATTGTTCACCCAGAACAGTTCCATGATAATTTGGCGGAGAATCATCGTTTTCGGAACCACAGAGTCCAGGAACTAACTACGACCAGCTACAAGAACCCATTGGAGGACATGTCCAACTGTGATCATCTGATGGAATAACAAGCAAGCTGCATCAACCTCTGACCTCAACACTGGATTAAAGACAACCAACTCCTCCAAAGACACCAACAAAGGAAGAAAAAGTCTTCAAATATTGTAAGTAATACATTGTTGATTTCTTGTCATCCTTTAATTTAGTACGGTACATACTAATAGGTGTCATGGCAAATATGGAGTCTGGTATGGAAAGTAACTTTGAAAGTGAAATTCCAACAGTGTCTTTAGTTACGCCCCTTGCCAAAAGTGTAATTCAGGCAAAATTTGGCACAACAACAACAAATTGTTTAGTAGACACAGGGGCATCCATTTGTTGTATTTCGTCTGCTTTTCTGAGCACAGCTTTTGAAAACCTTACTCTTGGAAACTCACCCTTTCCACAGGTAAAAGGTGTTGGCGGCGAATTGCATAAAGTGTTAGGTTCAGTTGTGTTAGATTTTGTCATTGAGGATCAGGAATTTTCTCAAAGATTCTATGTACTGCCTACACTGCCGAAGGCAGTGATACTAGGTGAGAACTTCCTTGATGACAATGATGCAGTCTTAGATTATAGCTGTCATTCCTTGATACTCAACAACAGCACCTCAGATAGGCAATATATCAATTTCATAGCCAATTCAGTGCGTGAGATTAGTGGATTAGCAAAAACAATAGATCAGATTTACATCCCCCCTCAGAGTGAAATTCATTTCAAGGTCAGACTATCAGAGACCAAAGAGGATTCCCTCATCCTCATTGAACCCATTGCTTCCCTCACTGCTCATTCTAATGTAGCAGGCGGTAGAACTCTTTCTAAATCAAAAAGCAAGACTGCTACATTTAGGCTTATGAATCCCTCCCAAGAAGAAAAGGTTCTTGACAAGGGTACAGTTGTAGGCAAATTTAGTTACATTGACAAAGACTCTGTTTTTGAAATCGGCTCTGACCAACCATTCATCAGTACCATTAACACTGACAATGAGAAGAGAGACAATGACACCAGGGATTATGTCAAAATTGCACAGGAGTTGGGATTTGATTTGACCAATACACAACTGACTCCAGACCAACGACACAGACTACTTAGATTTTTGGGACAAAATAGAAACATGTTTTCAACAAGTCTTGCAGATTTAGGTAAGACTGACCTGCACCATCATACCATTAACACTGGCAACCACCCACCCGTTAAGAGTAGACCATATCGTCAATCTCCTCATCTCCAAAAAGTCACTGAAGAACTTATAGATGATTTTCTGAAGTATGATTTGATCGAGGAGTCAACTTCTATGTATTCAGCTCCAATTATCCTAGTCAAGAAACGTGATGGCTCATATAGATTTGTTTGTGACTACAGAAAGTTGAATTCTGTCACTTTACCAATGTCATGGCCTCTTCCTGTTTTTGATGATGTTGTTGATAACATCGCCAATGCACAAGCTAAGATCTTCTCAACTTTAGACCTTGCTAATGGCTTCTTCCAAGTGCCATTACATGAAGATTCAAAGCATAAAACTGCTTTCGTCACCCATCAAGGCCTTTATCAATTCAAACGATTGCCCCAAGGTTTGACAAATTCTCCACTTTGTTTTCAACAGCTCATGAGCAAAGTGCTACGAAAATTGCTTTTTAAGGTTGCGCTGATCTACATTGATGATTTGATAATTTACAGCAAAAACTTTGAAGAGCATCTTCAACATTTAGAGCAAGTATTTTACTATCTGAAACAGGCAAAATTAACACTAAAGCCATCCAAATGCAATTTTGCAACGGACAAAGTATCTTTTCTGGGTCATGTTTTATCATGTGGAGGTGTTCAAGTTGATGACAAAAAGATTGAAGCAATTAGAACCTTTCCAGTGCCCAAGTCACAAAAGCAGATTCGCTCCTTCTTAGGTCTCACAAACTTCTACAGGAAGTATGTGAAAAATTACGCTCACATAGCGCTTCCACTGAATGCCTTGCTAAAGAAGCATTCAGAGGCAGAAGTAGGAAAGAAACCAAAGTTCCAATGGTCACTTGAGTGTGATCAGGCATTCAACACACTCAAACATGCTATGAGCAATACACCTGTTCTGGTTTATCCAAATTTTGACAAAGAATTTCTTCTCGCAACTGATGCCAGTGATATGAGCATAGGTTTTGTTTTGAGTCAAAAAGACGAGAAGAATAATGAACATCCAATAGCTTTTGGTGGTAGAGCTCTTCATGGCAGCGAAAAGAACTGGAGCATTACAGAAAAGGAAGGCTTAGCTCTAGTTGAAGCCATTAGATCCTTTCGTCCATACCTTGCAAATTCCAAATTCACAGTCTACACTGATCATATAGCATTGAAGTGGCTGAAATCCATCAAGGATGCCACAGGTAGGTTAGGACGATGGTCTTTGGAACTTTCTACCTACACTTTTGACATTGTTCACCGCAGCGGCAAAGCCAATGGGAATGCCGATGCTCTCTCACGTAGGGAATATGAGGAAAATATTAACTGTAATGATCAGACAGAAGAAGATGCTGAGAAAACAGTCTTCTCAGTAACTTCAACTCAGCAAAGCAAATCAACTAGCAGTACCACAATCTTGCCAAACACCCATTCATCCACACAAGTCACACAGACAACTCAGACTGTGGATATTTGCACACCTATTGTCAATCACTTAGAATCAGACACACAGACAACACATTGGTCAGTCACCTTTGAATATGAAGAGGATTATCAGTCAGTACCAGTTAATGTTGTCGCAGCATTACATGCTACAAATGCTGATGTTACCCAAGACACATTGGTTGAAGTAAGTATAAAAGAACATCCAAATTTACGTCACCTACAAAGGATTTGTCCAGATTTCATCCAAATCTTTGACTACAAAGAGGATGAAGTCCTTCCACAAAATGAAAAGGATCGTCAAAAGATTCTTATTGAAGCCAATACTTTTGAAATTGATGAAGGCATCCTATACCGATTCGTTCCACAAAGACAGAAAGGCCACGCAGACAAGTTCATTAAACAGCTGGCAGTCCCAAGAACCCTCAGAAATCAAGTCCTGCAATCCTATCATGACTCAGAGTTTGGCGGTTGCCACCATGGGAAAGAAAGGATGCACAACACCATGAGACCTAAGTACTACTGGCCCAAAATGTACAGCGATATTGCTACTTATGTCCAGACATGTGAGGTATGTCAACAGACCAAGAGGCACTACCATGGCAAGAAGGCACCACTTCGTCCACTACCTGTAGAAGAGGTCTTCACCCGATGGCACATTGACATTCTCGGTCCCCTGCCAACAACACCAGATAAGTACAAGTACATTTTGGTGATCACAGATGCTTCATCTAGATGGTGTGAAGCCTTTCCACTTTGGACCCAAGAAGCCAAAGAAGTAGCAGATGTTTTCGTCAGAGAAATATTTTGTCGGTATGGCGCTCCAAGGACCTTAATTTCAGACAGAGGTCAGAATTTCATGTCCAAGCTTATCAAAGCAATTTGTGAACTTTTGGCAATTAAATTTACCCATACCAGCCCATACCATCCTCAAACAAACAGCTGTGTAGAAAGGCTCAACTCTTACATCAATCAATCACTAAGAGCCTATTGTAACAAGTCTCAAAATGATTGGCCCCGTTTTATTCCTGGCATCATGATGGCCTATCGGATGGCTCCAAATTCATCAACTCAAAAATCCCCATATGTTATGCTTTTCGGCCGCGAAATGAGAGCTCCACAAGATGTAGCATTAATTCCAAAAGAAAATTTAGGCCACAATAACAAAAGTTATCTTTCCAATTTGCTTGAGGAGCTTGAAATCACTAGAACAATCGCAGCTGAAAACACTGCTCGGGCTAAGGAGGTGTATTCAGAACAATATAATAGAAAGGCTAAAGAACCAGAATTCGCCCCAGGTCAAAGAGTTTGGCTCTACTGTCAAAAAGTTGAAAAAGGCCTTTCCAACAAATTAACCAAAAAGTGGTATGGTAGCTATTATATCATCCATACAGGTCCAAATTATACCTACAAACTACGCCGAAGTTCTGACGACAAAATACACAAACCACTGGTCCATGCCAACCGTCTGAAGCCATATTTTGATCCTGCTGATCGTCCACAGTATCCTCCAGAACCATACCTCAATAACCCCAGTGACATAGATTCAGGAGTCATGGATGACAACGAGGAACCAGTCAATGATACTCAGTTTGACAGCAACAATTCCCCATCAACAAGTTCAACTTACCAGGCTACTGATCAATCACCTCCACAACAGAAAGGTAAGAAGGTCAATTCCAAAACAAAGGCAGGTACTTCGAGCAACAAGAGTCAGAAGCAAAAGACCCCAACAAAGAAGAAAAACCCTGCTTCAAGTACAACAGAAAAACCTACCAGTCCCACGGCAACCATGAAGGAAAATCATGCCACACCAGGTCCTAGTGCTCCAACCAAGGTAAATGAAAAGGTAAATAAAGGGAAAAGAGGAGTGAATAGTAAGCATCACCAGCCCAAATCCAGAAAACAACCCGACGACAGCCAGGTACAACCTCCAAGTCCAACATCAGGTAATCAAACCAAGGACATCCCTCAGGTCTTCAATCCAGAGGACATCCACTCAATTGTTAGTTCCAAGAGAGCAAATGGCAAAATCTACTACAGAGTAAAATGGAAGGATCCAGAAAGAGGAAACACATGGGAGTATGGCAGCAGCATTCCAGACTCCATTCGGAGAGAATTTCACCTCAAAAGAAGTATGTCAGGAAAACGACGAAAACGTCCACTGAAGAATCATAAGTTTTTCGACCAAAAGGAATCAGCACTAGACAATAAATCAGTCAATGTTCTGTCAGGGAATACAATGTCAGGAAATGTCAAGCAAGACAACACCAAACCATGCATAGAATTAAATGTCAAACCACATCCGTTTTTTCCCAAACACCTACGAAGAGTAGAACATAAAATAGAAAGAGTTCTGGGCATTGAAATTATTCAAGGAGACTGCTATGTCAAGGTCTCATATAAAGAACATCCTGATACTGTCCACACATGCTATTTTGAAAGTGTTCCTCCCCACCTCATACAGCGCTACCTTGATGATAGCTGGCAGGATCTCCGAAATTGGTCCTGTCTAGAAGATAATCCTCCATACGATCCAGAGGAAGCACCAATTTATAAATCCAAAAGGGGTATTTTTCCACATAAAGACTTTGGAAATATCAACACCTTTTTCTACCGTGAATCATATCTGAATTACACAGAATGTGGTACCACTCAACCATACGGTGATCTACTCCCCATATATTCTGATATCTGCCAATTGCACATATTCTTGATCAAAATACAAAATCTCCTGAATAAACGGTGCAAATCACGAAACAGCTATTAGCCGTATCTTGTTATGTTTTCTTGTGTCCAGTCTTTTCACTATGGGTCGCCAGTTGAGAACAAATGGCATCAGCCTGATCATCTGAGTTATTTGTATCACAACAAATTTTGAGCATTGACCTGATCAACCAATCTCAAAAGCGAAGTGAAATGACACGAACCCAACCCGTACCGAAGCGAACCGAACCCAAAACGTACCGATGCAAACCCAAACCCCACCGAAGCGAACCCAACACGTACCGAATCGAACCGAACCCAAAACGTACCGAAGCAAACCCAAACCCCACCAAAGCGAACCCAACACGTACCGAACCGAACCATACTGGGAATCGAACCCAAAATGTACCGATGCAAACCCAAACCCCACCGAAGCGAACCCAACCCGTACCGAAGCGAACCGAACCCAAAACGTACTGAAGCAAACCCAAACCCCACCGAAGCGAACCCAACACGTACCGAAGCGAACCGAACCCGTACCGAAGCGTACCGAACCATACTGGGAATCGAACCCAAAATGTACCGAAGCAAACCCAAACCGTACTGAAGCGAACCAAACCATCCTGGGAATCGAACCCAACCCGTACCGAAGCGAACTGAACCATACTGGGAATCGAACCCAAACCGTACCGAAGCAAACCAAACCATACTGGGAATCGAACCCAAAGCGTACCTAAGCGAACCAAACCATACTGGGAATCGAACCCAAAAACCGTACCGAAGCAAAATAAACTAAACCCTATCGCATTGAACCGAAGGAAAATCAAAGCGAAACAAACCAAATTCAAATAAAGTAAACTTAACAACCGAAATGAACCAAAACAAAAAAAAGGCAAACCAAATAGTTACGAAAACTAACGATGATATACACCTTTTGTATACCGTATTAATGTTACTAATCAGGGCACTTGTTATATGCACATGCACATATAATGTGTCTAATGTTTGTATCCAAAAGTAGAAGGATATTACTATTTTTTTCATGATAAACTTTTGTAATTTGCCGCCAATACATCCTTCCTGGTCATGACACCGTTTAGTAATAATTATGTACTGATCTTTTACATCATAATTATCATATTTGTTTTATTTTCTAGTTATTACAGACAAACTAAGGAAATATTTATATATGACATATTATTTGAACATGCTAACTCTCTTTTCTTTGTTTCCATGTAACACCTCCATGGACACAGCCTACTACCTTACAACCCCAATCCAGGATGTGGAACTCAAGGCCTCCTACATCACCCATAAAGCCACCAGTACAGAGTGCCAAGACAAGCCAACTCCACATCCAGAACCCCTGATGACAGCATTTTTATATTATGTTCCCTTATGTCAAAGAGACTCTATAATAATTATTATTCACTACTACCAGTTTAACTTTATACATTGTCCATCTAAGCCTTAATTATTTTTATTTTTACACGTTTGGGGTCCAAACTTTTTCAGACGGAGGGGAAGTTATCATGGGATAACATTTATACTAAGTTATCTTATAATAATTAGATCTACATCAAGTGCTTTTATGAGTTATCGTGGTGTAATATTTATACATCATTTCATATAATTATAGTTGACCAAGTAATAAATATCATTAGGTAAAATGCATATATAAAATATCAGTAGTTTCAGTTAAAGCTGTTTTAGATGGTTGCTAGCCTAAGGTAATGGGAGCGCGTCTTCTAGACATACTATTCAATAAGACAAGAGTTACGTCTACATAGTTTAATTGATTTGAAGCTTTTAGATAAATGCTAGCCTAAGGTATCAAGATCCCATCTCCCAGACAAAGGATATTTATTTAAGTATATCTGTCATCACCTACCGGGGTATATTAGAATAACATTACTTCAATTAAGACTCATTAAGGATTAGCCCCCATACAAGCTCGTCTATAGTGCATTAAGGATTAGCCCCCATACAAGCTCGTCTATAGGGCATTAAGGATTAGACCCCACACAAGCTCATCTATAGTGACACCCTAATCTCTTTCAAAGCATCCAGTAAATATGTCAACAAGATTAGTGCCAGTCCAACAGGATAAACAGGATTTAGTATTCCCCTCTGTCTAGCCATCCATTTAGCTTAGGACACAACCAAGCGTGTATCATCCAATCACATTCCTTTCTATTGTTTAATTTTTTGTTAAATACATACTGTAGGCAGGTTTTAAGGAGAGAAGGGGTTTGACTCTCTTACCAAGCAGACCTCTCTCCCACAGCCCAGAGTGTGTACCGACTCTCTGTGGCACCCTCAGTTATTTTCTAAGATATTGTAAATTGTTAATTGTTCTTGTAAATAAAATTGTGATTAGTCTCCTGTGACTCTGGCTCTTTGCTGACTAATTCCCCAAGAAAACCAGCACGTCATTTGGAAGGTATTGTTCACCCAGAACAGTTCCATGATAATATCATTGCTGAGATTTCAGTTTCATAGGCCTTGTAGATTCAGAGGAGGTTTTGAAAGTGTACAAGTTAGTTATGGACAGATGACAGATAATGCACCATGACATAAGCTCATTTGACTTCAAATTGGATATTCCTGTATTCATGATAGCCTGTAGTTTGATTACAGTATACCAACTCACACCTCATAACTTAATAAATGGCCTAAGGTCTGAGGGAAAGTAATACTTTCACAATATAATCAGGTCAGCGAGTTTGCATAGTGAATGGTTGAGTTGGCTAATGCAACTTAGAACAGTACGTGTTTCAGTAATATCACAGTGTGTCAGCTGATGATCCCGTGAGGAAAGACTATAATGAGGTACCGATAATACTACAAATGTGGTATTTCATATCATGACATCCATGATTTAATTTGATGTATGATGATTCCTCTATTGTTATCCCTGACTTTATCATGGTGGCACTGCATACAGATAAATGTTCACAGCACCTGTGCTTAGCTTGTGCTAAATCTATACAACAGTAAATTAGCCTTAGTATAACAATATAAATTAATGTAATTCCCAACATGAATAGGGGTAGAATACAACATACCTGATTTCCTACAAGGGTTGCACCTCAAATTTCCTGAATGTGGCAGGACACAGCCCACTTGGATACCCTGGGAATAAAAAAATGTGTAAATTGGTACTGATATCTTGACATATTGGTTGCAAAGGGAGGTAATCAATGATACATGTATAGTTTACTATAAATTTGCCCAATGCACAATAATCTTTATGATCCTTTATTAATCTCATATGTCTACATATTCCCTCAGTGTTCATCATAACAACAACAACAACAACAACAACCACAATAAACAAAAAAGAGGGCATGTAGACTAGTGAATTAGAGCGTGGGCCTTATCTCACAATGGAGCGAACGCCAGAAATGGACCTCACTTTGAACCCAGAACACAGACTTTTCAGCAAAACAAGTTAATTAACACTAATAATCTAGATGAGATATGATGCTTCCCCGATGATATATCTATGTTAGTCCTACACTCATTCTGGGCCTACAGACATAGAATACAAACATGCGTCATGTGCAGGGTCAGCAGGCACGTTGACGTTCTCCATCTCAGTATCTGAAAATAAAAAGTACCATAGTGAATGGTTGTAGACTGTAAATTATGTTTGCACAAAGACTAGATAACATTATGACCAACGAACAAGTAAGAACAGATAAACAAAAAGCAAGATCTAACCGATAAATGTTTGATCGAAAACCGATCGCTATGCCGGCCAAGGGGGATAACTCTTTCTGACCACGTCGGGACGATTTTTCCAAAGACAAATTTTAACCTTGTTTGCCAATACATTTTGTAACGATCAGTTCTTATAAATATGTGTAGTTCTATCAAACAAATACACATACAATGGCATGTATGAATGAAAACCGTAACGATCTTCTATTAAGACCGGATTACTATATATATATCTATAGATCTATCTATTGGTTGTTAAAATTGTTATTAGGTGATGTATAAAATACATATACCGTATGAAGATACTAAATCTAAGTCTAGCCTGTCTAGACCGGAGATAAAAAACAACAACAAAATGATGACAGACATCCTACCATCTGCTGAATGCTGGGTTGGACACTGCATATTCCAATATGGCGTGAAATGCGCCCCTGTGAACATACATCCTAATATGGTTATGCTATTTAATTGTTACTGTTAGCTAGTAGTAGCAGTAAATGTTAGTCTCCAGAGACGTAGAGACCGTCTTTGTACCTACTAGTAGCAGGTCATAGTTGCTAACAACTCTGTGCTAGTAGTAGGTAATATTTCCTGGATCGGGTGCTCAGTGAGCTAGCACTATAAATCGGCATCAGTCCGGACTAGTACAAGCAGCCACACACACACATACACACACATACACGTGCATGCACGTCGCTATATAAGTGCAATAATCTTGGACGCGACGTTAAACCAAATTTCACCTCACCTCACCTATGCAAAGTGAGTGAGTGAGTATGATTGTACGCCGCTTTTAGCTACATTCCAGCAATATAACGGCGGGTGACACCAGAAATGGGCTTCACTCATTGTACCCATGTCCGGAATCGAACCATGGTGTTCGGCGTGACGAGCGAACGTTGTGCTATGCAAAGGCATTTTTCAAACCCAATATGTTATAATCAATAAGTGCAGTGTTACCACATTATAGTTATTAGAATTGAAAAAAATGTGCAAAAAATGATACTTCTAATGATCCTGTCGCGAGAGAGCAGAGCTTTATGTAAACACATCGGTACAAAGTCAAGGATGAAAGTAATTAAGGGACGTACGTAATTCTAAATGACAATAACGGCACCTATGATCGGTCAGCATTTAAGATGCAGGTTTAGGTCTGATGTTATGTGATGTATGCTGGATCAGTTTCTCAATACTGCTTGTTTTTGTGTTTATGTAAAAAGTCAAGTTTATAGAGAAATCACTAACTTTATACCTGGAAACACTCAAAACAAAAAATGTTCAGGAAGCAGCGCACCCATGAGCGAGTTACAATGAAAATGTAAATTTCTTTTGTTATATACATATCATATATATTTCACGAATAAACAAAGGACTTAAATACAATATCAAGCTATTTGTATTTAGATGATGTAATGTTTTTAACCTATCTAGATCCAAAATTCTTATCAAAATTTGAAAGTGACACTTTCGTTCACAAAGGGAGATATTTTTGGAATTGTCAAGTGATGTTGTCTCATGGCACGCTACAAGTAAACGTAAACATACATATAATATAGTCCTTTTCTATTCTTTTAAATTAAGTAGAGCTAATAAACCGATTTGTCTGATTTGATTTAAATCTGGCTGAGAAGCGAAATATCAACATTGTCAATGTGTAAAATCTATTCCAGAAAGTAGTTCGGTGACGCTTGGCTTGTCTGAAAGCATTGCTGAGGGTCAATTAATAGTACTTGTCCAGTTTGAATAGTCTCAAGTATCTATATTTTGAGAATATAAAACGGGTAAATGTACACTTAAATTTTAAAAAGACCAACATCAATTATTATTTTAAAATCGGTGCATTGAATGCAAAATTCAAAGATTATTGTGGTGAAAATATCTATTTTATATTGATCAGTAAATTTCATTCAATAAACATTTTCTGCGAAAATATATTGGAAAGTGAATTTTGGACAATGCTCAAAATATGTTACTGCTTTACGACATTTTAAACCCATTTTTTACTTGATTTTTCAAATTCATTCTCGAAAATACGATACGAAAATATGTGCTTAACTCTGGCTCTCAAAATATCAATAAATTGCTACATTTAATGGAATACATCTATGTCGTTAATCACCCGTTTTTAAAGAATGCAATTATTCAATAGACAATATTTAATCAATTGTCAAATATTTGTCTTTTAGGAATATGGATAACCTAGGTGTTGATTTGAAAACGAAACCTAACTCAATTACTTTTGCTAGAAAAACCTTAAATATACTCTTTATACAAATATACTAAACGCAGTTTTGATCACATGTATTTCCTTGTTAAATCAATAAGACTAGCTGCCCCTGAGTTATCAATAAGGTCACGGTCATTACTATAGAGCCTGCCGACACCTTCCGCTTTAATCCTTCCGAAATTATCGAAAAGGTATGTTGTTTCACACTTCGTCAGCATGGACTTGGATAGAAATATATTGTAAGCTATCGACTCCATACTTATGTGGATCGCGGTCGCGATTAAGAACATTTCTAACGTGATATCTTCGATGCGTTCTTCGTGTTTTTTCGAAGTGTCAATTTGAATCGCACAGTTTAACAAAATGAAATGTCAATCTTTGAAGGTAAAGCAGATTATTTGTTTGAAAAATATCTATGGCAAAGTATGCCGCCATCTTGGTTGAAGATAACATTAACCTACGACAGGTATGGGGCTATATTAGATTTATGATAATCTTATGATATCTTAGGCCTACGATAGTTTCGAAAATAGGCTACGACGGCATACGATTTCCTTACGATAACTTTCCAATAATTTTAGGGCTACGATCGTTTCGCAAAAAATCTAACTCATTATTATAGAAGTAACGCGTCTTAACTGGAGCTAAAAAGATACACTCATCTTAATAAAAAATGGGGCACCTCCACTGAAACTGACACATTAAAAGACCAATTCATTTCAATAACCATAAAATTGAAAACGATAATGTCTGTAACTGCATGGTCTAAGGGATCTAGATGGATGTCAACTTGAGCTAAAACACTTAAAAGTACAACTCATTATAATAAGAAGGGGCGCGTCTTAAATGAAACAAATACATTAAAAGACTAACTCGTTATTTTAGGAAGTGAGGTGTCACAACTGAAGCTAAACAAACGAGACGAACTGATCAGGATAGGGTTTCACGCCTCTGAGCTGGAGCCAAAACATTAAAAGACGCCCTCATGATATATATTGCTAAAAGCGGCGTAAAACCATACTCACTCACTCATTCAGTTAGGTGAGGCGAGGTGAAATTGGGTTTAACGTCGCGTATAAGATTATTGCACTTATATAGCGATGTGCATGCGCGTGTGTGTGTCTGCTTGTACTAACTGATGGCGATTTACAGTGCTAGCTCACTGAGAAAACATGCCGCAGTTTAACATGAATACCCCATTCAGACACAGTATACTGACTCCGAGCCGACCAGTCCTTGTTTTAGCCTCTTATGTCGAGCGCCAGACAGGGTAACAACAAGTACCATCTTTTAACGTCTTTTGGTATGAACCCCGGACCTACCGCTCTCCGGACGGACGCTCTACCACTAGACCGCATTCAGTTTGGACCACACTCTATGAAGGTTCATACTTCAATGAACCCACACAAAGTGAAAGTCCATTCTTAAGTAATCCCTAAAGGTAGCCCTGAGGGCAAGAACTGGAACCTCTCTCAACACATTACTTACATTATCTGACCTATTATCTACCCCCGACAACTCTAAAACTCTTAAACTTAGCTAGAGGATCAAAACATTAATATAAAATAGCATCTAATTTCAAAATTTCAAAATTTATATTCCATATTGTAAATCTATATGGACATAAATCCCTTCACACTATAAGTATTCCTAATAGGCACATTTTTTTCTATTTTGTTTCTAACTCGAACCATTTGGACAAAATAAGTTCAAGAATTCAAAGAGCCATTGAAGATCTAAACTTTGCAACTAAACACCACAGTGATCAAACTGCAAAACAACCGACGACCTTGACAACTGATCTTTATATCGCGATCAGTAACAAACTTCTGTTCGAGCTCTATACATCAAAATATAAAAACAATCTAGCTTTACTCTTCAGGCCATTTAATGCATCGACAGTATTCGCGGCAAATTCAAATTTCATTATAATATACAGCAAATATTTTAGATTAATCTTTGACAAAACAAAATTCCAAACAAACCAATTGCCATATATACTGAATCTAAATTCATTTTTTTGTAATCTTTGCATGCATGTAGATGTCGGTCAATGGGTGCAGGGGTTTAGCCAAGTCTCACCTTGTGAAGATTTGTTGATAAACATTCCGAAGGAAAACGTGACACCTAACCTCACCCCTCCCTATTTAGACACTGGTACAAAGTTTGCGGTTGCTCACAGCGGACCAAACAACTACCCTCGTCGGACTAAGACTGCTGAATCGACGAAGCTAAATTCGTTTTTATTGCAATAAATAATAAGCTTTATTGATATTAAACCAACAGTTTGCAGGTTTCACAAAGAAAACAGCATGTATTGATGTTCAGGGATGTGAGCATGTTTTGTCAAAAAAGAGGAAAATTCTAGGGGGGTCTGGGGGCACCCGCCACCACCTTATGTAGTGAGTCAAGTTAGATAAACAAAGATGGCGGAAGCAGTGAAATTTCAAAGTAAAATCAGTACTTTTAAAAAATCGGGCATAGCTTCCGCGCACCCGGCTACCCGCCGGGTCTGGGAGCAATACTGCCATAAACTTCGACCCCCACCCCCTCCCCCTCCACCCCGCACCCCATCCCCCAGACACAATGACAACTGTCACAAGCGTGCAATGTCAGACCCTTTTCCCATGTTGAAGCATATTGAAAAAAAACTTACCTTGTACTTACTTACCTTTTATTGAAAACCCCCCAACAACATTGCAAACATAAGACATTGATACAACATATAGTCCCATGTTATGGGTTTTCGGACGCTGAAGAAACATTCATAGTTTTCTCACTAATCACATGAACCACTGTAAAACATCTCATTCAGTAAACACCAACGACATAGGTGTAAGAACATAAACAGAATTTAGAATCAATATGATTCATGTACATGGTGTATTCTTACATTAGATAACATGTTTCATTCATTGACGACATTGGACAATCTCCTCCACCCCCCTCCACACACACACGCGCACGCACACACGCACGCACGCACGCACAGTGACAGGCAAACGCTCTTACGGGCCTGGTGCCCTGGTGCTGTTTTGTATCGAAAATAACATCACATCATCTGCGATTCGTTACAGCCACAGTGATTATTCGTTTACATAATTATATGTTCACCAACAGAATGCTTAATTACAT